CCCCAAAACCCCAAAACCCCAAAACCCCAAAACCCCTTGCTTGGTAGCTGGGTTGAAAAGGCGAAAATTAGTAGAGATTAATAATAAAATTAACAAATATGTAAATTGATGAAGCGTTTTAGCATATTTTTGAATGCTAAAATGGGGTTTTGAGAAGGTTTTAGGGGCAATTTTGACTGATCTTTTATATAGATGTTGAACGACTTAATGGGAGTCCAACCCAAGCACAAGAAATCGAGAGGATTACTTAAAAAATTAAATACAAGATTGCTTAAGGTGAAGTTGAAGGATCAGAAAGAGGATAAGAAAACTAGAAACTCGCCTCTGTTTAAACCTATGACTTTTAACAGCAAAAACACTAGGTTGCAGACTATAACTCCTACACCAACTGCTGCTAAAGATACTCTGCCTTCTTCTGAGTGTAGTGCTCTTCCTCCTTTGCCAAGTTCAGGAGCAAAGATGCAGAAGTTGACTTCCTTTGTTCACCATAGGAAGAACTGATACACTTCCGTTTTAAAATGGGATCCTAAAAGAAAAATGAATGTTCCGAGCAAGATTTGGCTAAAGCCAGAGAATAACTTCAGGAACATAATGAAAACACCTGAGAGGAAGATTGAAAGTGATGTGATCATGATGACCTTTGGCCGAACGCCAAAGCAGGCTCACAAAAGAAGCCAGTCCGATGTTTTTGGTATGATAATTGTTCAATACTATTCTCTCTGTACTGTTTACTTTGCAATCCAAATTTGAAAAAAATTCCAAAATTTACTACAGTTGCTTACTTTATTATAGATTTCACGAGCGTTTGCAATAGTAATACCCCTCTAAATAGCACATCAGGTCATACATTTAGCTCTTATTATAAGGTAAGGTATTGGTGTGATTCTGGTGAGAGAGGTGAGGAAGGAAAGGGAGAGAGGAGTCTGAGGGGCTGAAGTTGATGGGTAGGGGAGGTTTGGTGTGTATTCTTAGCGGGATTGGTACTTTAAGAAGAGGGGTTGGGAGAGAGGGATACAACCCAGGATGCTGACTTGAGTAAAAATCTTAAAAACATGCAGTAAATCCCTTCCGGGCACGTTCAAACCACCTCTAGACCACACATTGAGACTCTCCACTAGTTTTTGAAAACCCTATTTACATATTAAGAAATAAATACCTGTGCACGATTTGGAGGATTCCAAAATCCAAAATTATCAACCCCAAAAACAACAATAACCCCACATCTACCCATAAACCCCCCTCTCTAAACCCTCAAAATCCCTCCAAAACCCCCTAACTCTCCATCTTCCCCTACTTCCCCCCTCCCCCAACCCCCCTATTTTCCTCCTTCCCCCATTAATCCCTCCTTCTTCCTAAAAACCTCTTCTAAAATACTTTAGTAACCACAAGCGAACCAGCAGTGACCAACTGAGCAAGGGTAAGTACTCTTACTGGGAGAAATGGGCTGAAGCGTTGTGATTAAGGCTTATTTAGGTATAGATGGGAAAGCCAAGAGGTTGGGGAAGAATGGGAGAGAGAAGGTTACGAGTAGCCTGAAGTTGGTAAGATGAGCGTTTTGGGGAGGTTTGGGGGCTGAGGAGAGGGGATTTTGAGGGGTTGGGGTGGCTGCACGGATTGGTGGAAATTTTTTAGTTTTTATAAATAGTTTTGGAGTATTGGGTTTTGTTTGAAAGCTGAATGTTAAATTTCAGATTATTTGGGTATCAAAAGTTAATTTTGTTGTATAGAACTTGTCAAGGCCAAGTTTGATCAGTACAAATACCTCTCCTAAAGTAAAAAGAATCGAAAAAATATGTCAGATTTTGCTCGATCTAAAAGATGTCAAAGGAAAGAAACTTAGTAAAAAGTAAGCTAAACCTGCTCTATTCCTACTAATCTTTTGCATATAATATGAGTCTTTATAACTAAACTAAATTCATTCGATATAGGTTTGATAATTTTGGATTTGATCCTAACCAGTATAATGCTACTCCTTCCAAAGAGGACTCTCTCTCAACTAAAATTATAAAATTGCGTAAGAGAAGAGCACGCGAGAAGAAAGAAAGCCTTGCTTCTACTATAACAAAAGACCCACTAAGAAAGGCTAAACTAAAGTTCAAACAACTTTTCCAAGAATTCAGAGACCATTAATGCTATTATATCCAAACTTCGCCTTCTTTTTTGGAGATATCATATATTTCAACTAGAAAATACTTTAATGGGGTTTTGGGGTTTTGGGGTTTTGGGGTTTTGGGGTTTTGGGG